GTTTATAGTTTAGTTAGAAAGCCAGTTAAATGACAATAATTTTGTGACATTCTGTTCTAGTGACTGATATATATATTTTTTGTGTTCTGAAATTTATAGTTGAAAGATATTGAAGTTTTATATGAGCAATGAACTTCAAGTAAAAAAAACTAGGCATGTTTAGCTACGTGTTCGAATAAACTTTCATGTCACACAGTACGTCATTGTATGAGAGTTCGCTAAAGCAAGAATTATTATTTTTCATAGACTAATAACCTGAATATATGGTATAATATAATAAACTTTAAAATAATTAAATGTGAGAAGGTGAACAATTGCATTTGTAAATATTATTAACTGAAGATGTGGTGACAAAGGATGCATCCAAAGAAGAAGAAACTATGCTATTATTTTATTTAATCATTTTTTTTATTTTTCATTTCTTTTGTTTTCACTGTATATTGATGATTTAGGTATAGTTAGTATTAGAGTGTAAAAAAAAATAAGAAATAAAGTTGTACTGCATAAAAAACTTAAAAATCATTTAGAATATTCTATAGTTATGTAAATGAAATATGAAAATTGAGATGAGAAAGAAGTGTCTAGTATTAACTTGAAATTCACATTTCACTCAGACTGACTTTGTAAAGGCTATGGAAACATGCAAGACAAGTTTTTGGTAAAGTAACCTTATTTTTAAAAAATTGTTTCTTTTGTGTACATCAGATTTTAATGTTTACTAAGAGCTTGCCAAGTTTTGTGAAGATACACCTGGGACATTCAGGGTTATAGTATGTTTAATTTGATGGTTACATGAGAGTTTTAAGGTTGATCAAATTGAATAAGTTAGGGCCTACATCAAAGGGTTAACCAATCCATGTCTTATTGTGTATGTTGTAGGATATCTGCTATAGGAGAACTTTACATTACTTCTTCTTTGAGCAGGACATTTGCCCAAGCATTGAGAATGTTAGCAAACAATCTGGTGATCTTTGCTCACCATCATGACATATGATAAATGTTTGTCCTATTCAGTTTGGTTAGATTAATAGATTTAGCAAACATTCAGTCTGTATTACCCATTCTACCAAACCACCAGACTGAAAATGATAAAATGAAGTGTGTATGTCTTCACCACACCCAACATTTTACACATCTGAGAGAATAGTTGGTGTTGAAGTTAGCTTTGTCAACACATCAGTCACAGACTGTGCTGATGTATTGATCAATGTTTATTTAGTGAAGTGGTCTGTGGACACAAGTATGTAAAGGTAATCATGTTCTATCTGCAGGAGTAACCTAGCAACAATCAGGGCTACTATCTATAAGAGAAAATGAACAATTTTCTGCTGGAGCTCACTTTGTTTAGACTGCTTTTTCTTTGGATGGCACACAACATACACTGTAAACAGACAAATATGGCAAGAATTATCACCAGATGTTAATAATGTCTTGGTGCCCTCCAATTTTCATGTTATGCAAGGTCTGGATTATGTCACACCTCAAAGCTCTGGGCACTAGCTGTAACACAGGTTGAGAACCCACAGCTTGGTGGTTGAAAACTATGATACACTCACCCTCTTGTTCTTGAACAGGCTTGTACAAGTTCCAATGATTACATGCATCCATTTTATGTCCTCAATCTGAGCTGGAATGCCCATACTAGATATGGTTCCTTCCATTGCTTTTCCCCGTTATCAAGACATTAACCATAGTATCCATCTACTAATGGAATCTCTTACTGTATGGCTTGTCTTCACTATTGCAGAAATGGTTTCAACTCTCACACAGTGTCCAGTGTTTGATAATTTAACAAATGGATAGGGTCTCTTCATACAGCAAGACAATCCTTCCATGTTGCATGCCTGGGCAGTGCTGTATGACTAAATCATACTCTTTCAATGCTGTTATTTAGCATGCCATGATCCCTTTTGGATCTTAAAATTCAATCAACCTTTTCAATGATACATGGTACATTCAAACAGTGAACTTTCTACCATAAATGTAGTGTCAATAGTGTTTTACAAAGTCTACAACTGCAAGCAGCTCCTCCTTTGTCATACAGTATCTGTGTTTAGTAGTCATAAGCATATGATTACACACACTACTCTGATCAGCATTTGCATAAACACTGCTCCAATTCTACTATCACTGTTGGAGCCTCAAGTACTCAATCCTGTTGTGGATACAACAACACTGTGTCTTTTATTAAAGCGTGTTTCAGGAACTAAAATGCTTTATGTCATTTGTTGCTCCATCTGGAGGGCACTTCGACTTTAGTGAGAGTCAAAAATTATGTGGTGATCTTGGAGAAGCTGGTCATGAATGAACATCACTTGGTCACTGGTTGAGGCCAATCTTGCACCATTATTATTTTAGCAAGCTTTGTGTAGATGCATTCCCAACCACAGTACAACAAACAAATTGCACTACATTGCATATAAACATGTTTTTCTAATTTAAGTTTTAAGTCTGCTTTTTTCATTTGCTTGAATGATATTCTCAGGTACCTGATGATGACAAAACCTTGTCAAAACGTTGTACATTTGCTGTTATATTAAAGTTTTTCTTCATTACCCATTCAAGCCGTCTCCAGCCATTATTAGTCTCAAAGTGGGTTCCTCGTCATCGAATTTAAACATGAGTTACGCATTCACATGGTTTATATCAGTGCAGAACTTTTTATCCTGACCATCACTATTGGAGATGACCAACCACTCTCTGAAGACTCTGTACTTTAGCCTTCCTTCATTGTTCCTCAGCACTGGTTACATCCCTAGTGCTCCAAGGAAACCTGTGTAGCAGTTGTTTCATCAGAGGTGCATCACTTTTTCTATGTGATAGTGTGTGACATGTTAAACCCAATTGGCCATTTTGTCCTACACATAATCAGCATATTCAGCCAAACAAGTCTCTGAGTTACTGCTTCTGCTATGAGGCTAGATTGCACAATCTTCAACAGTCAATCTCAGATGTGTTGGTAACTGCTTATGACCCTTACTTAATGCAATAGATAACCAGGACCTTGTCCTTCTTCAGAGAGATAATTGCCTGAGCTAATGCTGGTTCATTTCTGAACAAGAAACAGCTTATTTCATGTGTGGGCTCTACTACTATATTGCACAGAACTAATGCACAAGATTTCTTCCACAGTAAATTGCAGAACCCATAAATGTACAAGGGTGTTCGATGACTTTCTCTTCAACATAAACTCATACAGTCTGTTGTTCCTGAGTCTAGTCTGCCTCACTTTATTTAATTCTTTATAGAACATAAGTTTACTTGTTGCACAGGCAAAATTGACTGAGAAGCTCCATAGTACATCTAACTCAAGGATTCTGTTGCCATAACTGAGATCAGTGATGACAACCTTCATTCTGTGAGCAACACCTCCTAGACCTGGGGTTGGGTAACTCTATTCAGTTTCAGCCTCACCAGACATCACTACTGTGATGATCCTCAGTCATCCCTGCTTCCCTCACACTGAAGTTGATCCTTAAGGAAAGAGTACGAACAGCTGTTTTGGATACTTCAGGCACTGGCAGCTATTCTTCCAGAGTTGTTGGCTGCAATAAGATAGAAGTCATAGACCTTAACAGCATCTGCAAAAATTCAGTATTCGACTCGATAATTTTCAAAAACCTTCTACCTCCAGTGACTGACAATTCCTCTTGGTCACAGATCTTTCATGTTGTACGAAGTGCCATTTACTTTCCAGCAAATCTTTTTAAATGTAAACACAAGAGTTAGGAGTAAAGGGCAATATGTACATCAGCAGAAAACTCCACAATAACATATCCTTTGGTCAAGAGACCCCCCCATTTTTTGTCTTTCTTTTTCATAATGTTGTATATTCAGGTTAAGCTAGTTTTCATTAGAGCCATGGAATAGGTCTACTGAATAATAAGAGATTCAGCGTAGTACCTCTTACATAGTAGTTCTAAAGTTTGTGAAAACGAAATAAATAGACTAGACACAATGAAAAATCTTTATCAATATCACAAACATGGTGTGTGTACTTCCATAGACAATAGACTCTTGCTTTTGCTGGAACTTAGCTGTTCTCTCTCCAAACCAACTTCCTCAAGATCATGTACCCAACTGCCTAAATCCAACCTTCCTTATTTAACAAGTTGTGTAAGATTTACCTATAGTGACTAGAACTATTCACATGATTGTTTATTTTCATACAAACATAAGGAAAATTGTAACCTCAAGATATTACCTGATTTACCATTGGAGGACACAGCTGTCTACATTCTTGCACAAGGTACGGTGTTACAGCCATATAGTACCACTCATAGGCAGAACAAGTGTTATCTCCAGAGAATGAAAAAAGAATAAAACCAGCTTAACAACTTTCTTGGCCTCATGTTGTGAAAAATTTTGAATAATATTGTGTTAAAATAAGAAGGTAGAAATGCATGTTGATAAAAGAAGAAATAGCCTATTGTGCTGAAAGATTACATTGATAATCCTAGTGTACAGCATGAAGAATAATTAGCTTACAAAATCTTGCATGCTAAGATGTTTTACTAATTTGTTAAAAAACAACAACCTAATTTGAGATTTCCAAACACTAGCCTAACCGATCTCTACAGTTTTACTCACTATTATTCTTTTAATAATGTAGCACTAACTTGCTTTCTCAGATTTTTGCAAATTATCTCATTTGGGGAAACCTATTGGCCAAGTATTTAGAATAATCAACAAGTATTTATATTAATTTTTAAAGTACAAAACATCACAATATCTTTTGAAACCTAGCCAACAAAATATATGTCTCAAAATAATGACTGCTTCTGCACACCTTTACAACAATTAGTAAAAGATATTGAAGTTTATTTGCCTATCAACTAGAGGGAAAATTGTGATTTAGAGTAAATCCTAGAAGCAGATAACTGAACTTCAAGATAATCTGCATTTTTAATTTTTGGTGTGCCTTTTCCACAATTAATAAAAATAATTTATTTGATAATTGCTGGTTATGATTTTAACCAATTTCTTGATATGAATTTCAGGGAATTGTACTTTGGTGGAGCCAAAAATTCCTTAGAAAGAGTAGAGTTAAATAAAATTGTGGAATTGAAGATAGTAAGATCAGAATCTGAATATCCAGGTTAGTGAGAAACATTCATTGTTGGTCATCTTGATACTGATGAAATTGTGAATGTACGAAACTACTGTGTAATGGCTGTTAGTTCAGGAATTAAATGTCTTAAGTAAATGTCAAACACACTTAACCTGTATAACTGAAATGGTCTTATCAGGTTCTGCTTATCTTTAAAAAAAATGATTTGTTCCAAACTATATTAAGTGAAGGCTTTCAATTCAGGATGTTAATCTGTAAGTAAATTTGAGTTGATTCATAGCTGACATTATAAATGTGGTGACATAAGGATTTGAATATTTACTAAACAAGACAGGGAGTAAAGACTTCCACTTTAGGAACTGAGTGTGTCAGTAAGTTTGAAACATTGTAAAGTTTATATAAGGGTCAAACATGATTCTGAATATCTGAAGACAGTTTAATATTAATTGTCTTTAGTAGAGCTGAGAGATTAGTGTAATTTGATAACTGATTCATTGTCAGCCTAATTAATTGATTACATTCAACTAATCAATTATTCTTACAGTTGTCTTGGATAGTTGGAATAATGGAAAATAATAATAATCAAGAAACACTAATTTCAATTAGTTTATTATTTTTGTGAAAATCATTGATGTAATCGATGCTCAAAGGTTATGAAGTTAATTGCTCTGCTCCATTCTTAGATTCATGTGAAATTTTCTAAATTTCACGTGCTAAGTGCTTTACTTCAAGATTGATAAATATTTGTATGTACACTCTAAGTTAAGTTTCATTGTACAAGTGTAATGTCTAAATGTGTAAAGATTAATGTTGTAGGAACTTTTCAACTGTGGTTGTGTGGGAAGATTATGTACGGATCATTCTATTGGCTTAAAGCGTTTCTAGAGAATTGGTGACAGAAAATAAATGTAATTATGTGGATAAGTGTCTATGAGCTTTTGTTCATGATATTTAGTCTTATTTTTTTTTCTAATTTCCATTGGTTTTGTTGTATGTGCATTATTGCAAATGCATGAACTCAGGTTTCGTCTATATAAATAATATGCTTGCATTTGTCTGTGCAGAACTTTTCTCACAAATCTCTTGATTAAACTCTACAAATCTCATATTCTTAGAAAGGCCTTTGCCCATGTAGTCCAGATAGCAAATTGACTTTTCCATTTAGAATCACCTTGTTTTTTGCTTAGTCAAACTTTTTAACCTTCTATCTACTGGCATATTTTTCTTTTTTTGTGAGTTACATTTAAAATTTAATTAAACTACTTTTTATTCATGATATACCAATAACTATCATAAAAACGTAGCTAATAATCCATATTTTTGTAGTAAATAATTTTAAGTTCTTCCTTTATAATGCAATATAAAAAAAATATATAGAATTTTCCCTTCTGTGAGAATTGTGACATTTACACCCTATGTATCCCCTCTTCTCTACTTTATTTACCACCTCTCCAAGAAGTATGAAATTTAATGTAAATTACCTATTATAATATTGGAATCACTTGGAGAAAGCATAACTTTTATAGCCTTGAATCTTATTTGGTTACAGAGCCATGAAATAGACAACGAGGCCCCTCTTGTCATGCCCACCTGTCACATCCTGTCTTTCAGAAATTGCCAATATTTCTGTCTCATGTTCAATACTATATTATTTTAACCAATAGAAGGCCAACATTTTCATCTATAAAATGACATGTTATATTACACTGTTTTCTATAAAGAAAAATTGTAAATTTTGCTTTCAGTTCAAGCTTGATTCCCATGGGAAACACATCGAGAAGCTCAGATGAAGTTTTAACAGCTCTTGTTGCATTGTTAGAAAATCAGAATTTTTTTTATAGTTATGAGACATTGTCTGCTTTTTGCACATTATTATTCTGTATACTTTGGTGCATTATTTGGTTAAATAAAAAATTTAATGCAATACTACCATTACTATAAAAAAAGGAGGGTTATGTGTTATTGACATTCAACAGAAAGAAATAATGTACTTTTTTGTTTTTCATGTGTATTCTTTATTATTATTATAAAACTAAAATGTAAAAATAAGAAATTTTTATGTTAACTAAGGTTGAATTAGTTAAATGAATAACTAAATTCTTTCTTGAGGTATGCTCATAAGTAGCTTGTGCATAATGTAACTCCATAACATAATGTGAGCTGCACATTTGTGAAATGATTTACAACTTATAATGGTGCAAATAGTACTTAGCCAGATGTAGACTGTTAGAAGTGTAAAGTTATTTAGGATAAACAAATGTAGTTTCATATTATAATTTGAAGTCTATTCTAGAAAGAAAAAAAAAGGGTGATTTAGATTTCATTTTTTTTAAAGTTTTACTGAAAAAATTGTTTGAAAATTAATTTGGAGGTTTTGGGGATTATGCAAATAAAATTTGAGATTTTTGAGACAATGAAAAGTATTTTTAATCTTAACATGGAAATCTCTTAGCACTTGGATTAGTACATAGAAATGCTATACATATTCACAGACGTATCTTTAGTAAAAATACTTCATTAAAAAATCTGAATTTTTGTGTGCAAAAGATTTGTAATGCTAAAAGTCTGCCAAATTTTGTGAAGATACACGAAGTGTATTAAAATGAGTACAAAATGTTTACAAGGTTGTTTGAATCAACAACTTCATAGCGAGAGAGTTAATGCAAGGACTGTATGCTATATGATGGCATAATGCTGTTGTCATCATGTGACAATTGGCTTTGATTTCAACTTTAGTTTTTTATTTGCAAAGTATTTCACACAAGCAATACTTAACCCACTTGTAATTTCCTAAAAAAATTAACATTACACTAAATACAATTTCTGTGGGCTTTCTTGACTTATTTAGGTCTATAAATATGCATGTGTAGTTCATTCAAAACTATAAGCTTATCACTTTGTGAACATGCATTCAGATGTTTCTGCATACCAGCTAAGTTTGCTTTCATTACAACTTTACATTTAATTTACTTTGCAATAACTTATCTGTGGTTCATTTCATAGACTGCTATAAACACCTTTAAACTACTTTTTCTTTACTACAGGTTTTATTCTTTGTTTCAAATCTTAAAACTGTGTCATAACTAAATGCTCATGACTGTTTCATACTCCATATATTATTATATATACCAATACTTTAATGTAGTGTTTACTTTACATGTAGGTTTATTAAATAAAATTATGTCTATGTGAGTTTGTTTGTTTGACCTTGTAAAATTTTTTCAAGTAGATAAGGATTTATTGATCTAACACATACTGCCTGCAAGAAAGCGTAGCTTAAATGGTCTACATGAAAATGACAGAATTAGGAAAATTCAAGTGAAAGGCATGAAAACTACTGTAAATATTTTGCTAGTTTGTTAATAAATTGTGTGGATTTTATACCGACTGGTATTTTTTGTGTTCATTGTAAGTATTGACCAACTCGTTTTTCTTTCTAGTTAGTTTCATTAATGTTTAAAATAATGTTAATAGTGCGGCTACCCAGCTGTTGATATAGCATAGTCTAATCATTACTGGTTTTTATTATTCATGACTTTTTTTTTTCAATATGTTTGTTTTGGCACATGTGTAATGTTCAATTTATGAAAACTTAAAAATTTTATTTAAAAAACTGATTATTTTATACACAATTCAATAAAATGAGATTGTTTCCAGTCTCCAAATTACTAAAATAATAACTTACTGCACAAGGTTAAAAAGTGGTAAAATCCCCGATGTGACTGGAAAACAATCTCATAAGCTCTACATGTCTCAATATATATCTTGCGTCATCCTCAGGAGTGTAATGTTTTGCAAAAAATAACACCTATTTATACAGTTAAAATACCAATTTACATATTAAAGAATTTCACACCATCTGCTGACAACATTTCCATCAGTTTTCCAGTCACATCGGGGATTTTACCACTTTTTAACCTTGTGCAGTAAGTTATTATTTTAGTAATTTAGAGACTGGAAACAATCTCATTTTATTGAATTGTGTATAAAATAATCAGTGTTTTTTAAATAAAATTTTTTTAGTTTTCAATTCTTGACTTTGTTTTAATGCAAACAGGATTGAACTGGTAGGAAATCGATAGCTCCTGAGATTATTTTGTTTACATTTATATTAATTACTGGTTTTTTCTTATAGATTGATTTAAGGCATTAAATACTTCTAGCCAGTTTCTTACAATTATGTTTTGGTTTTGATCTCTATTGTTAGCTTATTTTTTATTAACAGATTTTAATAATTAAGATAGAAGTTAGAGGAATATTTTTTTCAGAACTGAAAGTGAACAATATGGATCTAATGATTTGAAACATTATAGTATAAAACTTTTATGACTTTGTGAAGGTGAAGATGAACATGTCACAATATCTGTCCATTGTAATAGAAATTCTAAAATTTGTCCCACAGTTACTAAATTTACAAGTAATTAAGACACAGTGCTTATAGCCCATTGATGTATGAATTACTTGTTCTGGACTGTAAGACAAACTAAAGACCTCAAACTTGGAGGAACTTGAAAGTAGCGCAAAACAATTCACTTTCAATTAACTATGCAAATTATTTTATTAGTATGCACATATTAATGAGCTTGGATTCAGATTATCTAAAAACAAAATATATTGAAAACTAATAATAATACCCATCTAAATTATACATCAATATAAAGCTTAAGAGGAGAAGAAAAACATGAACCTAATAGCACAAATGACAGACTATCACAAAAGAAAAGTAAAAAATATATATGTGTTTATTTTGAACACTACAATCCTCCCCTCCCAGTTACATATCTCCTATAGTTAGGGTGTAACTTTTTACAAACCATATTTTAGTTTATTCTCTACACTATTATTCAAGCTGTTCTGTGTAAAAATTTGCTAGAACTTTATGAAAAATTTAGGAAAACTACAAATGTTTTTGTTCGTCAAGTAGGAGAAAATCTGGAATTGTTTTATGTTATGTTCAAGTTCATCAAAACTAGTCATGCATACATCAATGGGCTATAAGCACCTTAAAATTATTTGGTCAAGTTTCGGTAATTGCAGCTTTACCTTAGTAGCAAGGTGATACATATAAATATGCTTAAGTGCATTAGTATCAAAAATAATTATTGGGGCTACACTAGGATTAGACCATCAATTTCTTTCTTTCAAATATTACATCTGTAAATTATGAAATGTGTACTGACTTTTTTATATTGAATACTAAAATATAGAAGTTTATTGATAAACTAGCTCTTTAAAAGGCAGTATTTATTTTTGACATATTTCTAGGACTTACTGTAGTCACTGGTGTTGAACTGATTCATGAAATCTCAGGACAAGGGATCTGCTCGGTTATTTTAAGTGACAATGCCAACAGCAAACAGTCACGTATGTGGATTTCAGCTCTTCAGAAAGTAAGTTTCAACCATTGTGTTCCTTACTGTTGTGTTTCTTGTAAGGAGTATTTTGATGTGCAAGAAATAAACTGAGAGTATGAGACCACATGTACTTACAAGATATAATTAAAAGCTAAAACATCTCAAATCTACAAAAATGTAAAAATTAGGTAAAAAAGAATGAAAACATATAATGATTTGATGTCTATAAAATAAACCAAGTTAAACAAAAGAGTAGTCCAGAAGACAGAGAGTGTTCTTGGCTTTGAACATACATTTGTTCATATATTTTAATATATATTCAAGCTGTATAACAAATGTCATTTTGGTGGAGCAGGGGGACTGCAAAAATTAGCAAGTCTTGGTCCAGTATAATATTCAGATTATAGTAAATTACTGTAAAATGATTAGAGCTTTTCTCTATGTTTACAGTAAATAAACTGAAAATTTCTCCTTTTGCTCCATATTGGAAAGTTACATTTCTGCATTCACTTAAAATCCTAAAGGTTTGTAGTTTTGCAGAATTCCATCCTAATGTAAAATTAAGCACAGGACAGATATGTAGTCTTAACATATCAATATTACAAGTGCTTTATTACTTAAATGACACAAAAATCTACTATAAAGTAAAATGTCATGCACTTTTCCCTTACAATCAAAGTACATACAATGAGTTCCAAGATATAGCAGAACTTTTTATTACTATTAGAAGGCATTACTTGTAAGTTTACCATGATTGCATATAGCTTTAATGCCAAATTACAACAAAGGCTTCATCTCTTTCACCAACTGAAGACTGTAGAGAGGCATGTTTTTGTAATTCATAATAGGTAATGAAAAATGTGAGATTTGTTATGTCTGGCTAAAAGAAATGTTTAAGCTGTTCTTTACAAGCAGTTATTTGACTGTCAAAAGGACAGCTGGACTGTTACTGAGTGAAACCCTTTATACTCACATCTTAAGGAAACTTGTATTTTGTTAGTCTTATGGAAAGTTGGAATCCAAATAGCTACTTCTCATTAAGTAAAACTATTTATTCTAGCAAATATTCCAAGTTGAACAGTTTTTTTTAGTGATGCTTCATGCTATCTTAACATTTTTTTAGTATAGGCTCACGATTAATCAGCTTGAATCTTTTTTTTAGAAAGAAGAGATGAGAAAATTTGGAATTATAATCTTAAAATGTTTAATAAAAAGTAATGATTCTTAAAATTTATTTTTAATTCATTTTAGGCCTTCAAAATGGTGCTAGAGTCACGTGGGTCATCTGTGCTGTAAAAGTGGAGTAGGTAACTGTATAGCAAGTGAAAAGAAGCTTACAACCTTTGTATTACATTACCAGGAAATCCTTCATGGAAATCACTTGCTTAAATGCTTCTAGGAAGCATAAGATTTTATGTGTGAAATCCTGGATAACTGTTTTATTTAGTTTCAAGTATTGATTATATGCATTATTGAAAGTTTTTTTTGAGAAATGAAGTACTTCTCATACTGTTATTCCTGTAAGTATGTGTAGGAGAAGGTGTGAAAATACATTACCACTTTATTAGTATCCTTAGGTATAATATCCTCTTAGTGATTTTTATTATGTAAAATTAACATGTTCAGGAAATAAATCTTATCTTTTTCTGTATATTTTAGTTTAAACAAAAAAGTAAAATGGGACCAATTACACACTAGGACTTTCATTACATTTAAACTTGTGTATACAGTGAGTTTTCAGTCATACACCAGGGCTATTGACAGGCATGTATGCAATGAACAGTTTAAAAAATAAGTAATCAAGCTACAGTATTAAAAACTATTTATGGCAGAACTAATACTGTTACCTTGTTATTAGTCTTATGCTTTTTTTCATCAAAAAATACGTTGCAGTTGTTTAATGTACAGATGCCTGTCAAAAATTATAATTATAGTAAAAAATTTAGAATAATTGCAACTTTTAAAGTTGTGATAATTTCTATAATTTTACATAATTAATTAGTTAAATGTATCTTAACTGTTTAAAGTAGTTTAGAGACTGTATAGGGAAAAAAAGCACGTTATATAAGTTACTGTATGCTGTTAAGATTGTTTTGTGTTTAAGAAATGATACATTTATCTCTAATTTTAGAACATTATGTCAGTAAATGCTAATCCTAAAGATAACAGATCTGTTGATACAGCACATTTATCGTATGTGTATAATTTGTTAATCATGTTTTACAGAAAGAAATATCAGAAAGATGTTGATAACAGGACTACAGTTGTAATTTTAAATAACTTTTAGATTAAAACCAGTAAATAAAACTTTAATATTCTGTTTCATATCCTGCCAAACTTGGATACTTTATACAGGCTCAAGCTTTGTTTAAATATATATTTTGAAGCTGGGAATTAACTTCTAGCTTGGATATGCATATTTAGTAGCACAAAATTATCCTATATTTTGAAGTTAATTAAAAAACAAGTCCCAGAACCTTACTATCCTTTTTTTGTATATAAATGTGAGTTGCTCTGCAATCCTTGATTTCAAACCTCTCATTTTGCATATTAAAATTCTAATTTAAACATAGAAATAGCCAAGTTGTTTTTTTTCTAATGTTAATGTGAATGCTGTAAAGAAGCATTAACCTATAAACTGAACTTTAATCAAAATTCTGATTAATGCCATAGATAATTGATACTTTTAATCATATTCAGGTTTTTATTTTTTTTATGTGAAATTTTTCAGTTAAACTTCAGAGAAGAACATTTTTTCATTTCTTATGTTTTTCCTCTTTTATTTTCATGCACTGTAATTGTAAATTTAACACTGTAAATATTAGAACCATAGGTTCATAGATATTAATTGAGTTTCATGTATATTTTATTAGCCATTACTGGTTTGAGCAGTTTAATTCTTTATTTTTCATTTAATTTGTTGTAGAAATGGAACAGTATTTTAGGATGTGTGTGTAGAAATTACTAGCTTCAGCCGATATTCAACTTATATTTTATTACACAGCTGTTAAAGTAACAGTGGTACAGATGTGTGGTTAACATTCAACCTGTAGTTCAAAGATCAGCAGGTTCTATCCAGATTTTAATACAGTGTTATTAATGTACAGGTAACATGTATATTTCATATGCAAGATGCTATATAAAGATTAAGTTTTTTTCCTGATACAAGATATTGAAAAAGTTTATAACTGTTTAAAGGTTTTATATAACATTTTGGTAAAGCAATAAAACTCTTTACAAGATATGTGTTTCACTTTTGGTACTCATTTTCATGTATGTTGTATATACCTAATTAAAATTTAAAAACAAAAATTTTAAATCTGTAGTGAAGAACTGGAAAGTGTAATTTTAATTCACACTCCTGCTTTAACAAACTTCAATCTTTTCTTCATTAAATTACATATCAGTGCAGTGTAAAACTACAAACTCAAAAAGTTTTCTCAGGATATCACTACATGTTTCTCTAGAATTACATAGTAAATCTGATAAAACAGGTGGTTATTTATCCAAGTACTCTATTCTTAGCCTATAATCAACAAAATGTGCAAGAAAAAATAACTGGCCTATTTTCTTGAGAAAAAGACCTCACTTTGGCATAACTTATTGTAACTTTGAAAAATTTTGCAATGTTTAAAGTTGAGTTCACTGGAATGAGTGGCAACTGCCTGTTGTGGAAAAAACACAATTATGTTTCAAACTGAAGGAAGACCTGAAGACTTTCAAAACGTTATCCTCTACATTTGTGTTTTTTCTACAACAGGCAGTTGCCGCCCATTTCAGTGTATTCATCATGAATACGTTACTCTGCCTAAACAATCTATCAAGGAATGTTTAAAGTTGTTTTGAGATACCTCACAAATATAACTTTTGCATTTTAGCTAAGTTTAGTAGCAAACAAGTGCAACCTAATAACCATGGTTTCTAGAATGTACCAAAATTTGTAATGTATAGACTTAAATATTGTTGTCAAACTGCATAATGACTTATAAACATGAAAAAATAAGAAACTATTTGATTCTAATACATATGCATTACACAAAGACCTTTCTCAAAAATTAGAATAATGTACTCAAGAAAGTTAACCACAAAAACAAATAACAGTAAATATATGTAGAGACAAATTATTTTATTTTTATTTAAACATTTCAAAGTGAAGTGATTAGATAAAGTTGTGGATAGAACAACTAATCAGTTTCGTAATAAATTAGCTTAACCTTAGAATTACAGGTAGGGACCCATCTGGTTTTTAAACAAAAATGTAATATTTCAATCCCAATTGCTACTGCTGCAATTGCCCATGTATTTTACATAGAAAATGTAAATAAAGTTACATAAAATTACTCAATATTATGCAGTATGTCGACTCACTAGTGGAGTATGAAAATGAGTGATTTCACCCAGTTTTTGTTTGTCAGTTCTCTACACTGTTGTAACAAGCAAAGACATAAAATTACTCAATATTATGCAGTATGTCGACTTACTAGTGGAGTATGATATAAAAACAAGTCATAATTTGAGGGTCAATTTACCGTGGTTTTTTTCAAAACTTTAGAATGACAACTTGTAATAATATTAGAACTGAATACAGTATGTTGACACTACAAGGAGTTGTAGAATATATTCTGAGTAATATATATATAGTTTTCACATAGTTATTCAGAAACTGTAACTTGTATTGTAAGAAAAAAGTTAATTTGAGAATAGAAATAATAAGTAATGAAGAAGCTGTTTGTGCATAAAAACACGTTGTAAATGTATACTGTATTTTTGTTATCCTGAAAATTGAGTACTCTTTACCTAGATAACAATGAACATTTTGTTCTGGTATCTCTAAAACACTACTAACAAAAAAACAATAATAGAATAACACAGTTGAAAGATAACTATTTCATGATTAAAAATGAATGGCACTTGGGTACGTACCAACAGTATACTTGATAAGTATTCACCACTAGTCGACTTTCAAAGGAATGGGATTTCAGGAGGTTTTTGGAGTTGTTGAAAGGCTTTTGAATCGAAGCTACCACCCTAGCATCACTGTATAATTTAATTTCTGTTCTTTCCACCAGTTGGGAATTTTCTTCAAGTTCTGAAATCACACATAAGTGGAAGTGAGAATGAAAAGTACCATAAAGCAGGATAACTGACTTTCATGTTGGTTTCCTGTACTGTTAAATTACTTAAATACCTTTCTCTAGAGTGCGATCACAGAAGAACACCTTTATGAATGATAGACTTTTTGCCACAATTTATTGTACGTTTTGTTTTTGGTTAGTTAAATCCTCTTCCATTATTAACTTAGTATTTTTGTAGCGTAGTTGAAATTGTTCTGATACCAGACACTGAATTCAAGAAACATATATGTAGGAAATGCTCACAAGAACTGAAGTTAAGTGTTAGTTATATATATATATCAAAATTCTACTTAACTCTCTTACTAAATTCAGACAGAATTATATATCGAAACACTAACTGGTCACTGGGACTAGCTAACTTGATACAGGTTAAGATAATAAAACACTATAGTATTAATTGAGTTTTAAGATAACATAATACTGTGGTATATCCAAGTGAAGCTGAATTACCTTTAGAGCTATACGAGATAGGTTTACTCAAGATATCAATTATGGAGTATTACTAAATTTTCACTAACTGCGTTAATGGAAAATGAAGTAACAAGGCTGGAAATAAAATGAACATTCCTTTATCAGAATACAAACATGGTGTGTTTACATGGGGAATTAACATTTATTGAATCATACGACTGACCACTAAAGACCAAATTCCAGGTTATACTAACTAAATTATGTTCCAGATCAGACTGACTAAGTGCAATGTTCCTTAGTTCATAAGGAATCTTACATTTACACAGGGCACCTTGATCTTTCCTCGTGACTAATCATTGTCATTAGAACATGGAGAAACCATCACCTCAAGATATTAGTTGAACAACTGTTGAGCCCTGAAGACTTGTAATGCTGAAAGCTGTATTTCAATACTTGTGGTTTGCACAACACAGATAGCCTAGTGCGTAACAACAAACAAACAACTGTTGAAGGGCATCCAAAGGCATGGTGGTAATTTAGGTTAAAAATGTATTTCATTCTCCCTCGAGGAATGAAATATAACCAGGAGTTGTCTGTTTCAGTTCACCCTACTGCATGATTTAGCATTAAGTGGCGCCTGACTATAAGGATTTTAGATTTTCGTGAGTGAGACATGATATTATTTTAGCTAGTGAAATGAAGTTGCCACAAGACATTGAGAGAAGCTGTGAGGAGATATGGAAATAAGATGAAGAAGGAAACCTTTGAACTGTTTTTTGACTGCTGGAGAATGGAGAAGAGTCTGTTGATACAAGTGGCTTGTGTATGCACGTGGTGGTTGAAAGACATTGCTCTTGAGACACTTACATAGTGTGGCATATCGACCACTATTCTTCCTTTCTTGGCAGTAACAAGTATTATCTGTTTCAAAGGACGAAGGTAGTTTGAAACAAAATCAACTTAATGGCTTTTTCAACCACGTGTTATGTGAAAACCTGCACGTATCTAGTAGAACAAAGAATAAACTCAGGGAAAATATTATAAGAGTAAAGAAGGTATAAAATCATGGTATATTCAAATATTACAGTACTGTAAGGAAGAATTTAGTTTGTGATGTATAGCAAAATGTAATAAGTGGATGGTAAACAAGTCTGGAAAGATAGAAATTTTAATAATATTTTTAAGAAGTAAAATGTCACTTTAGACTTTTGACATACATATTGTTACGTCTCCGTTTGTT